GCTCTAGCACTGCATACTGTGTCCGGTTACGGGAGCTCTAGACACTTCCTAATTATTTGGCTTATAGACTTGTAGTCTGTAGTATTTGGCAGATGCTGTTGAGCAAGATTAAAATAATTATACTCTATAAAACTACTCATAATGAAAGAATTCCTTAAAGTAGACCTGTAGTGGATTAGTGGTTGTGGTTTTTCAGTTTCATTGGGGATATGTTGGATGCACACTACAATTCCTCAAATTCAAACTTTAAAGCCAAATGTAGTCTGTAATTATCATTGGTCCGTTACTGCCAGTTTAGTCTGGAACTGGTACAAGTCTTACCAAAAATCTAATTCATTATAGTAATAAATTTAATGACAACTTACACCAATACAAAACTTATATATAAGTTATACTTATACCAATAGTACAATCTCTCAATACCCTTTTTCATGGCAACCAAATGTATATATTAATTAGTAGTACATTATCTCAGTAGTAACATAACTTCACATAAATTAAGGCATGAGCTATAAATTCACATTGAGAATTAGATGTATAGAAGGAATGTTAGATCTATCTATTTCATGATGCAAGCAGACAGTCTACAATTAATGGCTTGACATAATAACAACTACTGCAGATGTAAATTACTGTATAGCAGTAAAATTAATTTCCACTGTCATCACGCAGCATAACAATAATTAATTAATAGGAACTCTGCACTAATTTTTATGTAAAACACTTGAAAGCTACACTAAGGCCACTCAAAGTGAATTGACTTATAGTTTTCAGATTCATGCAACATGCATGGGGCTGCAGATGTAAACTGAGCAACAGGTAGAACTCTGTCTACTGTAACTATGTTTGCTTGATTATAGATAATGGCTACTGCTAGTAGACCCTCTGCCTACAGTCATTGGGATGGACAGTGTCCACCCCAATGACTGATGGTAGTGGTCTGGGCAGCGAAACTAGGCTATTGCAACACTGCATTGATTGCAAAATATTTTTCATTTAAAGTAAGAAAAATTGGATATTTTGAATTGAAAAAAAAACTAAAAATTATTAACTCAAAAAGTTTTAAATCTAATAATACTCATTACACCACTAACACTAATAATAATCATGGATTATTAATATTAAAATTAATAATAAATAGTTCCAGAATTCCTCCTCATTTTCGTTACAGTTGTCTTCAATGACTAACAGAACCCCTTGACCAGTTGACACCATTAGCATATGAGGTGTGACTACCAACTAAATATAAACATTGAGATTAGCAATATGACAATATTTATACCACCACCATGCTCCACTACATATAAGTCCACAATTTCCTGTGCCAGTGTCATTGTCGTAATCATACGTCGTGAACTTCGTTCCATTTTGATATGCCATACCATCACCAGCATCACCTCCATAACCTGATACAGTCAGTAGGTGTGGATGCATTTCCTACTTCAAAGCTAGTATAAGTGGCATACCTCTGATTCTCTTCAAAATCTTCCAAGTCAATATGAAGGCTAGTGCTGCTTTTTGTCAGCCGGTATATATTATTAAGTCCCAGCCAAAACTCTCCATTGAGGTCTCCGAATCCTTTAACATAGTCGGCCCATTTGAGATAGAAGTTAACAGTGCCATCCATTCTCCTTTGAAATACAGTCCAGCCACCTCCATTACTCATATCACAGTAAACCTGTTGAGCACAGAAATAAAACACTAATATTCATAGTATTGTGTTGTGTTACCTTAAAAGCTGGTAAT